GTTAAGCCTTTTCACGACCACACTTGCTTTTCCCTCGGCAACTGACACATGATCGATCAAGAAATAATATTTAAGGAATAATTGGACATGAATGCTCGATGAAAAATCACTTAACGTAATCGCTACGCATGTACGGCTCGTGGTGCGCGCTACGTGCGCGACCACGCTCCTCGGCCGATTTCTCGACAAATCATAGAAATTGTTCGAGCAACATGAGGTTAACTGAATATAATATAACATGAAATGACTGAATTCATGAAGTTTTCTCGAGAGATTTTTGGATTAAAACATGACATGCTCGACACGGACTATATACGCACGGCGAACGCAACTTAAGGCCAACACTTGAAATCGGTTAACATGATATAAGCTGAACATGATGCTACTGATATAGAAAAGAGATATTCCTCGCGATTACCTCTCCCTTTGCTCGCTTGACTAAACAATCGCTCGTGATTACTCGGAACTCAAACCTCCGTGCGTGCTTGCGGTACTCCCCGTGCATATGTGCTATGCCGTGTACGGTACTCTCGCGCGGCTTGCGGCTACGCGTGCTTTCCTCGGCCCTCTACTCTTCTCACTTAAATTTCTTATGCATACATAATAGGTGTCTAAGAGCAAAAATTCTCCTAACACCCCATATATATATAGGACCAAAATTAAGTGAAGAGGTGGGGATTAAATGGCTAAATATAATGGTGCCACTTGTCATTATTAGGAAACTTAAGAATGTTTAGTCATCCTTGATAAAGATTAGTCATCAAATGAGCTCCCTCATGATGACACCTCATGCTTATAATATGGAGACCTCTCTCCCTAATACTCACGGCTATAAGGAAAGAAATGTGGAAAAATCTTCATAACTTAATGTACAAAGATTTCTCACGGCTCTAGCAAAATTTGTTGAACATTTCACTTGATTTCTATACCAATAAAATGCCCACGACATTTATTGATTTAAGCGAAATTAAATACTTATTAAACATAAACTTTATGCTTAATTAATTACTAATCATGATACTTAATTACTAAAATTATTCCGAGCGTAAACTTGACGTCGAAAATAATTTCGGATAATCTTGACTGAAATAATTAATTCTGAACATAAACGTGATATTCGAAAATTAATTCGAACATTCATGACTTGGACGATTAATCCGAAATATTGATATTTCGAGTAATTCGTCAACTTAACTTATTAATTCCGAACTCCTAAAATAAAGAAGCGAATCAGAATTAAATCTGGAAACTTATCCGGTTACTAAAATAATTCACCGAATAACTTATCGACTAATTAGTCGAACTTGGAATATAACTAACTGAATAACTTGAATTTGAACATGAACATGATTATTTATTAACAAAGGCTAGCTTAAAATTAAAAGCTAGTATTTTCCTTTATTAATAAAACTCGGGGTGTTACAATCCACCCTCCTTAAAATATTTCCGTCCTCGGAAATACTAAAACTGGAATGTACAAGCTTAACATAAAGCTTATACTTACTGATTACATGACTTGAGAATTCAGTACTTTAGTACTGAATAATGGATTTGATCTGAACTGAAGAATCATCAATTCACAATCAAGTGAATTGTTAGATACTACTAACTGAGAATGGACACTTTCCTGAAATAAAGTGTTCCATTGATTATACATGATATTAAGAGCATAATACTTGATCGTACTAGTCATCTCCTGGCTGATTGCTGATCTTCGGTCTGAACGTTGACTGTGGAAAAACTCCAGTTGTTGGTACACTAGGAAAACTCCAGAGATACGCACTAGTACAAATGAGGATAACTAGCAATATCGGTAATTACCTTTCGTGAACGTCTACTCGATAACGCGACACATCGTTCGCGGAACCTTGTAATGCGGCACACCTGCTCCTCGTCAAGCGAGTGCGGCACGCCTGCATACAGCACCTGGTGAACATTGCACCTGCGTCGTTGACGTAGTCTGTATAACTGATCATATCAGTACCTCAAGCTAGTAACCTCAATGTACTATAATGCTAACTCTCTGTAAATATCCCAGTGTACTGTGACTCTGGCATGGCATCCTTCTCTTCTTGCGACATGCATCCTTGAATCGAAAGCCTCCGCTTGTCGTCATGGCATGGTCTGTTGCTGTCGATTAGCCCTTCTTCGTCGTGTCGTATGCCGACATGCTGTACCTGCAACTGTTTACCTTCCCTGAGGTCAAACTTAACCTCAAGAAAAGTCTATCATGACTTATTATCTCCTACGAGTTCTCAAATTTTTCAGAATTTCAGACTCGAGGCACTGATTATACTTGAAATGATTGATACGCCTTGTCTTATTAGACAGATTATCTTTGATCTTGACATGACTGGCCTGAATATTCACATAACTGAATAATCATGACTTGACTTTTACATGACTGAATCATCTTATCTTGAACTCTGAAAGCTATCCTGTGATAATTAAAATAGTTATCTCGGAATTGGAAACATGACATTTACTGATTTATTTGACTTGATAAGGTACGACTTCAAGTTTCCAGGTAGAATTGGATTAATAGTCTGTATTTTAGACCTCCATATTTAACCCGGCTGAACAACTATTATACGTCGACCTTAAGTCATGAATATAGACTGTAAATCGTGAACATGAATTTATAACTCTGTACTGTATAGGGTTGCTCCAGTATCAACTGGTCCCGCAAGTACAAAGTAATTAGCTGATCTTGATCTTTGAAAACCTTAACTTGAAGTATCATGACTGATAAAATACATGACGTGACTGACTTTAAAGGTTGTTATTACATGAAATCATATTACTCTGGTCCCAGCTTCAAGTCTCCATAGTATACCCGGCTGAGTGGCTCTTATTTCAAGCTTCCATGGTAACCCGGACTATTGACTCTTATACACTGGAAACCGTTACCTTAACAATGACTTGAGAATTATAACAACCTTTAGCATGAAAATTTTGCCTTGAACTTGATTTACTGACCTGACTTAGAAAAATTGAGCTTATTCCCTGATCTAACTCAAGGAATTCTTTCTTGGAACGTGCCAACTGGTTGGCAAATTGAACAAATTTCTGATAGAAAATGTCTGAGGAACATGATCACTAAGATTTGTATAACCAAGTGTTTACAAATCTCCTGACAAGTTGCTAACTTGACTTGAATAAATCTAGAATTGAATCTAGAGTTCTCAAACTTAGCCCCTTTCTAAGGTTCTGAATTCTGATTCGAACATCCTTACTGATAACTTTATTGAAGCTGATCAATAAAGCACACAAATTTCTTGACGAGTTGCTAAACATGACTGGGGAACACTGACACTAAATTCTGAGTATACTGACTACTGATCCTGAACATGATTCGAGCATCTTAACTAAGTCATAACTGAGGAATTTCTGAGCATAGACAAAGTAATATGTTTATAACTGAAAAACATAATCAGCACTTACCTGTAGTCGGCGAGGTGTGAGCGTGACGGTTCAGGTTTTTCTGAAAATTTCTGACTTATAGAACTTTTCAGAGACGCAGAAACGTTCTCTGATACCAATTGTAACACCCTGCTATTTACGTAAATCAGAGTACGCTTTTTCGCAAACTTTCTAACTAAAATAAATAAAATATTTCTTTTTGCGAAAACTGATTCGGAGTGTTACCGTAAAATCTGACTTTTATATGAAAACCATTAATTTTAATCTGATAATAAAAACGATTATAAATATATTAACCGACTAGTGTCGGATCAAAAGCTGAGTTAAAGTACTGAAAGTTGTAGCGGAATAGTAGTGTAGCCAAAACATATATATACATATATGCAAATGTCCTGAATCCGTCGCCCGCTCACTCCTCGTCTCCGACTCTACGACCTGAAAAAAACATGAAATACGTGGGGGCGTGAGCACTAAAACACTGTGCTCCGCAGAAACTCATACTAAAGTAAAATAGTGAATATAATAACAATATCATGATCCTGGCATATATAACTGAACTGAAACTGAACTGATAACTGATACCGGTACTGAATAATATGATACTGATCTCGTGATATAAATCACATGACTGATAACTGAACATCTGCTGGCACAAACTAATACCGGACACCATGTGCACACTCTAGTGGGCAGATTAGGGCCACTAGAACCCAGAATGGAC